GCTGCAGAACGAGGCTGGGGCCACGTGGGAGGCCGGAGGCCACGTGGGAGGCCGGGTGCCGTTCCCAGCCCTGCCCTTACTGTCTGTGTGCAGCTCCCGTGTTGTGGTCCTAGCCGTTGGGAGTCTGGGACAGAGGCTCGCTGTGGCGTGACTGTCAAGAATACTTTCTCTCCTCCCACTTTCATCAAAACAAAACTCTAAATGCTAAAAAGTAGCCCTGAGCAACAAATAGACCAAGGCCCTCTCTTCTTCAGAGTCTTGGGATGCTGTTTCCTCTGCTGGACTGCTCTCCCATCTCTCCCCTGGCACTGAAGCCTCCTCCCCCGGGCAGACTTCATGACCTTCCTGCTCGGTCAGAGCTTCTCTTCTGGGCCTTATCCATCCACCACGTTCTGGGAGCCAACGGGGAAGGGGAGACCGAACGCTCCTGGTTCAGTATGTGAACGTCTCAATTCCTGTTTCACTTACGGCGCTTTACCCTCAACTGTGCGTAGTGTTTCCCTGTCCGAGACTGCTTTATCCTCTCAGAGAACAAACGTCCGTCCTCCCACAGGGTGGGGAAGCGTGGCGCCTGTCGGGGTGGAGAGGGACAGGGCCTGCCCGCCTTGAGCCAGCACCCCGATCGCCCGCCCGCCTCCACCCCACTCAGGGTGGCTGGTGCCTTGTAATTTGCTTGTGCTTTTCTGTGTTTTTGAATCATTCACAGTGAATTCCTTTCACAGAGAAAAGTCCCTAGATTTTGTGAATTTTAAAATATAAACCTTTGACCCAGTCATTTCACTTCTTGGAATATCTTTCTTTGAAGGAAATAGAAATTTGGAAACGTGGGTGCACGGGCGTCTCTCACAGTACAGCTGATCACAGAGCTTCGCTGGTCGGAACTCGGCTGGGTAGCTAATGGCAAAGCCACGTGAGAAAGCCTGAAGTTGTGTTTCCAAAGACACTTAGCATGAGGAGAAGGCTTCTGATATGAGGTAAAATGAAGAGTGTAATTCAAATTGTAGGCACACCTTCCTCACCTCGTACTGAAAGATGCACCAAAGAAGGCGGGATTTACTCACTGTTGCCTCTGGTGTTGAGAGCTCACTGTCTACAACGATGCGGTACTGTTTGTGTAATCTAAAAAAATTCTGTACATGCAAAAGAGAAGAAAATGGAAGCGTCAATGTGATCGCAGTTTGCATCGAGGAGGTAGAGGTTTTGGAGCAAGAGTGTGAAGACCTGGGTTCCAATTGCCTGGGTTATCATGCCTAGCATACAGGCTAGGGGGCCACATGCTAAGAGGAAAATAGATGAAGTGCGGGTTAGCTAGAAAGTTCTGGAAATCAGGGTAAACCGGAGGCCTGGGAAGAGCAGGCTTGGGCTGGGCCTGATCTGTGTGAGGCTGCAGAGCTCGTTTGGGGAGGACCACACAGCCTGAGCTTGAGTGGCTCCTGGGGTCAGAGCCAAGGCTGGGGGACAGCCTTCAAGGTGGAGAAAGATGGAGGACAGTCCCACGATGGGTACCGCTTCCTGCCAGTGTCGGTGATGCTAAGGGTGGAGTGGAAAGAAAGAGTCCCCAGCTAAGGCCCCGAGGTCAGTGGTTAGCCACCCAGGCGTTAGAATAGGAAGTGGCTTTTTTGGGGGGGAGGGGTAATGTGCATATACCAGAGAGACAGAGGCAGACAGAAAGTGATAAATCACCCCACCAGGGGGGGTGGCCACACTGCAATGTCTTCTCCTCCATTCTCCTCTCGGGACTTTGGGCACGGACACACATGCGCCCGGCATGAGTTTTGAGCCACTGGGCCTGGTACTCAAACCATGATCAACCACGTGGGAGTCCTGGGCCTTAACCACTGTGCCACCAGCTGGCCCCATGGGAAGAAGTTTTGATGTCACCCAGCCACAGCTCTCTGCTTTGTTTCCATGTGGCCCATGATGTCCGGTAAGATGACCCTGGGCTATGCGAAGTCCCCAGCACACTCCACGAAACCCCGTCCCGTTCTTTCCTATCCAGGAAGGCAAAGTGAATTCAACTGACTGGAACCGATCTTAGGAAATAACCTTGAACCTATTCTGATGCCTGAAAAATACCGCACAGTCCCAGCCTCAGACCGGCGGTTACTGCCCCATGCCTGACTGCCACGACCGGGAACCTGAGGCCCAGAGAAGAGGAAGCACCGTGGCCGAGTGAGTATGGGAGGAGAGGGGCCAGGCCGAGCGCTCACACCAGACCGTGGCCCTCAGTCCCTGCCTCCTGCGGTGCTTTACCCTCCACTGCGTGGTGGCAGAGCTGTCGGCTGTCAGAGGGGTGCTGGTGTAGTGAGGGAGACCGGGGAGGGAGCAAAGGCAGAAATACGGTGGGCGGGGCCGGCAGGTGGTGTCGTGGTTATGTGCTGGACTCCCATGTGGTTGACTGCAGTTTGAGTCCCAGACCTGGCAGCTTGAAACTCATGCTGGGCACGTGTGCTTACGTGTTCAAAATCCCGAGAAGAGAATGGAGAAGGGATTGCGGTGACCATCCTCCGGGGGGTGATTTCTCACTTTCTCCCTGTCTCTCTCTGTGTCTCCGGTGGGTGTACATGGCCTATAGCAAAGATCTCTCTCTAAAAAGAGAGAGATGGGGCCCTGCAAGGTTCCTTGCAGACCATGTCACCGGGAGGCACCTGAGTCCAACGAACTCAGAGCATTGCCCTCTGCCCCTCGCCCGTGCTCGGAAGTGAGGGGCCATCGGGCGGTGCGAGTTGACACGCGTCCCCGCCTCCAGCTGAAACACGACTCCCCACATTTCAGAAGGGAAGCTTATCTGGTTGGAGGGTCTTTCCAGAATGTGAAGCGGGAGCCTCAGGGTGGGTCTTGTCTAAGGTGACCAGTGTCCTGACAGAGAGCAGCAACCTGGGCACAGGGGCAGACGGGCACGGGCCAGCCCCACACGGCTGGGACCGTACCCGGTTGCTTGAAAAACCTCAGGCACGTGTGTGTGCCCGAAACCCCAAGAAGAGAAGGGATGGGAGCGAGGCCATTGCCCCAGGGGCGCTTTTCCCCGCTCCCTCCCTCTCTCTCTCTGTCTCTGTCTCTCTCTGGTACGTGCACATAGCCTATGGCAAATTAAGAAGAGAGGTGCTCAGAGGAAGCATGTCGTGTGACGATGGTGGTGATGATGGCTGTGTCCACAGGCCGAGGAACGCGAGAGTGGCCACAACCACCAGGAGCCCGAGGGCTGCGGCGACCTCCCCGCCCCGCCCTCAGAACCCTGGCCTCTGAACTTGCTGAGTGTCTGTTAAGACGCCTCCTTTGTGGTCTATGTCCCTGCAGCCCTGGCGACTGCACTGGTGGGACGGCGTGGACAGCCCCTGCGTTGCACGTCCGTCACCACAGGGTCCTTGCCCCAAGCCCTGGCCCATCTGCCCCGTGGTGGTGCGACCATTAGTCTAGGGCCCAGCCCTGTCTTGTGCAAGTTCCGAGTTCCGAGTTCTGAGCCTTGGCGACTACAGGCCCCGCACCAGGCTCAGAGCCCTCGAGCTTTGAGGGAGGGGCAGGGGCCCGGCCGGGGCAGGACGCCCTCTTCACTCACCTCAACTTTTGCCCACCTTTCCAGCTGGACAGGGGCTGGGTACCAGAACAGGCTCCCAGGGCTCTCCAGGAGCCCGCTCTACCCACAGTCAGCTCTGCCTCTCACCCTGGCTTGGGGGGTGGAGGGGAGATCCCTTAGAGAGGACCTCGCCCCCGGGCTCCACCATCTGCCCCGTCTAACTCGGCCCCCCACTCCATGGTCAGAGCTAACGCTGGGCTAAGACCATGAGGAATGAGATGTCTCCCAGGTGATGCTTAGAGACACACTGACACAGGCACGTGCTGAAGCAGGGAGAGGTAGAGGTCATTGCTGGGTTGAAGTCAGGGAGGGCTTCCTGGAGGAGGGATGACCTACAATAACTGCTGGAAAGTGTGGGCTAAATTTTCCTACATGACTACTATCAGCCAGGCACAGTCATGTGCTTCCGTTTATTTTATTCGTTGCTTCTTATGAGGCAGGCGATGTTATCTACATCCTAAAGATAAAACAGAAGTGATAGGACCGGCAGAGATTGCAGGCTTGTGCACGCGTGTCGGGCGACATTTATCCTCGGGGCCTTCTGCTGCCAAAGCTCGCTTACTCTCGTGATGTCCCGAGGCTTTCCCTTTTCTGGGATACGTAGTGTTTAAAGGCCACATGGGGTGGGGTCAGCAGGTGGCATGGGGGGTCAAGGCGCTGGACTCCCACCTGGTCAACTGCAGTTCAAGTCCTGGGCTCGGCAGCTTGAAAATCATGCTGGGTGCATGTGCGTGCGATCCAAAATCCCGAAAGGAGAACGGAGGAGAAGGGACTGCAGCATGGCCATCCCCCTGGGGGGTGATTTCTCAGTTCTCCTCTCTCTCTGTCCCTCGCCAATGAGGACAGGCATGGGAGAGAGCCCAGCTGCCCGCCTGGTGTAAAAGCATCGTGCTCTGGGCTGGCAGGTGGCAGGTTAAGGCGCTGGATCCCACAGAGCTGACTGCTTGGTCCCAGTCTGGACTTGGTGGCTTAAAAATCATGCTCGGTGGGGCCAGGAGGTGGCGTGGTGGCTAAGGCACTGGACTCCTCCATGGCTGACCGTGGCTTGAGTCTTGGACTTGGTGGGTTGAAACTCCTGCTGGGCGCATGTGCGTGTGTGCCTGAAATCCTGAGAGGAGAATGGAGAAGGGATTGTGGTGTGGCCACCCCCGGGGGTTTCTCACTCTCTCTAGATAGTGCTCGTGCCCTCTAGCAAAAATCTCTCTAAAAAAACAAGAAAAGAAAGAAAGAAAATCACACTGGGTGCAAAGTGCATGCGTTCCCAGAATCCTGAGGGGATGAGGAGAAGGATTGTGGCATGGACATCCCCCATGGGTGGTGCTGTCTCATCCCCCCCATTTCTCTTTCTTCGGCAGGTGCACACACACCTGAGCAAAAATAAAAAAAAAAAAAAAAAAGAAGGGGCAGCAGCACCGTGCCCCGCCGGAGAGGCGTGTGGCCATGTGGGGTGCACCCTGCCCAGGCCTCCCTGCGCAGGAGGGACACCAGCTTGACCCTTAGTGCCCTCCCCCATCTGGGTCACCCTCCACAGGACGGCCAGTTCAGGCAGCAGGGGCCTCACCCCAGCATCCGTCTGTACTCTAGATGGCCCGTCAGCCTCAGCACCTCTCCGCCCCGGCCACTCCCTTCCATGGGCCTTTATGTGAGCGGTTTCCTCCCCGAGGCCTTGTCTGCCTGTTGGATTGTCTCTTCATTCCTGCAGCCCTTGTGACTTAGTGTGAGACCCAGCCCCCACCTGTGGACTCACTGTGTGTCTGGTGAGCTCTGGGTATATGGGGAGGAGAGTGGGCATGGGTCCTGACTGTCCCTCTGGAGGGCAGGCTTGGAAGGGCCGAAGTAGGAGGGACCAAGCGTCCTGGATGAAAGGGCCCATAGTCTGGACTAGGAAGGGTAGGCTGGCAGGCTCACGGGGAGCATATTGCTGGGGGTAGCACGGCTGGCCGCTGGCTGGGCACGGGCAGGCTGCGGGAGGACACTGGTTGGCCTCTGCTCAGTGGGCAGGTTGGTTAATGGGCATCGGAGGGGCTGGGGCAGAGGGGGAAAGCAGAGTCCTGCGATGCCTCAGAGGCAGGCAGTTTAGGACTCGGGCTGTCGAGGGGGGGAAGGTGTGAGTTTGCAAGGGAAGGTGTTGACTGGGGTCGGGCTGCAGAGACCAAAGACAGGCTCCTGCAGGGCCAGGAGGAAGCTGGCGAACAGCCTCCCGCCCCGAGGCGCACAGCACCAGGCCACGTCTCCTCGTGGTCAGGCCCTGTTTATTTCAGAGGCATACAGAGCGGAACTGGGAAGGATGATGAGAACTGGCCTCGTCCCCTTGACGGGCTGGGTGGAGGCTGTCTTCCGAGGGTTCGGGCCCGCCCGGCAGCCTCGTCAGCCTCTGCCTGTGAGGACAACCGGGGCAGCAGTTCTGCCAGGAGGGGAGGGCGAGGGAGGCCAGAGGACTCACAGTGATACCCTCGGCCCGTCGTCTGTCCAGGAGCACCCGAGCTGGCTCTGCCTGGGGCAAAGCCGTCCCGTCCTGCGGGCGCCAGGAGGGCAGGTATTCAGGCACGCCACGGGGAGGCCCCTGACCTCCCAGCAGTCCTCTCTACAGACTTCAAGGAGTGGGTGTCTGAGGCAGTCCGACCTCTCGGGGCCCCTCTGTTGGTGACATAAACCCCAGCCCCTACACATACTGCTTCTTGGAAGCAGAGCTGCTGGGGCGACTGGGGGACTTCCGGCCAGCCTGGGGGGGTGGGTCCAGGAACAGGGGCGGCCTGGAGGAAGCCAGCCTCTCCTCCGTGTTCAGGTTGGCCCAGTTCTGCTCACTGGACGAGAGCCCGTTGTAGGTGGGACATGACGGGGACGAAGGCCCCTCGCCCATGGGGAGGTAGAAGAAGACCTGGTCCGTGTAGGGGTCCGAGGAGGCGCCCTGGGCAGGGCTGGCATCGCGGCTGTGCCGGGCCTGCATCTCCCGGCTGAGGCGGCGACACAGCAAGTGCAGCAGCTCCAGCAGGTTAAGCCCCAGGGAGATGAGTCCGACCACCAGCATGAAGATGATGAAGATGGTCTTCTCTGTGGGGCGAGAGACGAAGCAGTCCACCAGGTAGGGGCAGGGCGCGCGCTGGCACACGAACACGGGCTCCATGGTCCAGCCGTAGAGGCGCCACTGGCCGTAGAGGAAGCCCGCCTCCAGCACGCTCTTGCAGAGCACGCTGGCCACGTAGGTGCCCATCAGCGCCCCGCGGATCCTGAGGCGGCCGTCCTCCGCCACCGAGATCTTGGCCATCTGACGCTCCACGTGCGCCAGGGCCCGCTCCACCTGCGGGTCCTTGGCAGGCAGCGCCCGCAGCTCCCCCTCTTTCTGCCGCAGCCGCTCCTCTCGCCGAGACAGGTAGATGACGTGGCCCAGGTAGACCAGGGTGGGCGTGCTGACGAACAGGAACTGCAGCACCCAGTAGCGGATGTGGGAGATGGGGAAGGCCTGGTCGTAGCAGACGTTGGTGCAGCCTGGCTGCGCCGTGTTGCACTCGAAGTCGGACTGCTCGTCGCCCCACACCGACTCGCCGGCCAGGCCGAGGATGAGGATGCGGAAGATGAAGAGCACCGTCAGCCAGATCTTGCCCACCACGGTCGAGTGCTCCTGCACCTGGTCCAGCAGCTTCTCCAGGAAGCCCCAGTCACCCATGGCTCCAGGGCCTCCGTCTGCGGGGAGACAGCGTCAGCGTGACGTGACAGCCAGGCATCTGCCTCAGCTTGTCCGAGCAACGAGGGAGGGGGGCCCTGCCACGCCCATCCTACCCAGGGTGGCTCAGGGAGGGGAAGGCCTGGCCTGGGGGCTCAGTGGAGCAGGGCAGGGGGAGCCGGAGCAGATGGTCTGTGACAGCCGCTGGGCTCCCTGCGAGCCCTGTGTTTCTCGGAATGGCAGGGGTACAGTTAGGGTCCCTGTCCCATCACTTCTGTGTCCCTCTCGTCCTCACCCAGAGCCCCAGGATGACTATGGCCCCAGGGGACCCAAGCGCGCTGTGGCTTCTCTGCCTAAGAACACAGAAGTCGGGGCAGCACAGCTGTGCCAAGCCCTCCCTCCCTTTGCCTGAGGCTGGCTGCCGGACAGTGGCGACAGTGGCAGTGCGGGGTGGCATGGAGGTTTTACCTTCGGCCTCTCAGGGGGTCAAAGCTGCAGGGCCTCCCCTCCCTGCCCCCTCCCCAGCTGGCCTCACTGAAACGGGGGCTGGGTCCGACAAGGTGGTTAGAAGGGCAGCCCTTGGGCCCACCTGTCAGCCTAAGCCCTCCGCAACTTCAGCATCCGCCCCCCCCACGCTCCCCCGCCGCCACAG